GTCCAGCAACATAGCCATTATGCCAACTGCTGGTCCCTACCCTTCCTTTTTTTATTGCCCAAGAACTTTCTCAGAACCTTCTATATATATTGAGTTGATTTGATTTACCTTAGCAAACATCTCTTTTCTGCTATGTCAGTTTCTATGTTCATTGTTAGAAACAGTAAGATGAACTAAAAACTCTCATCATGAGGAAATTCACTGTCAATGGAGGTAAAAGGGCATAGGCATCACTTATTTTAATATATGTGGAAGTCTATGGAACTGGGTGATGATTCAGTCTTTTGTAAGACTTTAAAAAGTATGTTTTGAGAAGGAAACAAGCTGGTGGTGTGGTAGTTAAGATGGCTGGATCCCACCTGGCCAGCTGTGTGGTTGGAGTCCTGGACCTGGTGGCTTGAAAAACTCTTGGTGCATGTACATTGCATATCCAAACTCCTGAGAGGAGAAGGGATTGTTGCATAGCCATCACCCCAAGGGCTCCACTCTCTCTCCCTCCCTCCTTCCTTTTCTTTCTCCCCCTCTTTTTCTCTCCAGCAAGCATGTATGCTCTGGCAAATATTTTTCTTAAAAGATTTTTAAAAATTTTTAAAGAATTATTTATTTCATTTATGATCATCATCATTATTTTTTAACATTTATTTTTACATTTCCCACATTTACTTTACATATCAAAAGATTTTTGCTCATACTCTGTAGTCAACAGTTAATAAACAACTTTCAAAATTTCAAGAAACTGAATTTAAAGATAATTATCAAAATATGTTATAATTTTATTTGTGACTCTATAACAGAGACAGTATGGTTTTAAATTTTTTTTTTTAAAGAGGTTTTTTGCTATAGGGTGTGTGCGCTCGCCAGACAGAGACAGAGAGACAGAAAGCGAGAAATTACCCCTCATGAAGGATGGCCACACCACAATCCCTTCTCCTCCATTCTCCTCTCAGGATCTTGGGCACGCATGCACACGTGCCCGGCGTGAGTTTTAAGCAACCAGGTCCGGGACACGAACCACGGTCGACTATAGCCATTACGCTAACTGCTGGTCCCAGGCAACAGATATTATTGAACTTATGCAAATAATTACTCTGCCATAAAATAAGAAAACTCCCTTGGGACCAGCGTAATGGCTATGTTGCTCGACTCCCATGTAGTCGACCATGGTTCAAGTCCCGAACCCGGTGGCTTAAACTCATGCTGTGCGTGTGTGCGTGCATGCCCGAGATCCTGAGAAGAGAATGGAGAAGGGATTGCAGCATGACCATCTCCCCTGGTGGGGTGATTTCTTGCTTACTGTCTCTCTGTCTCTGTCTCTTTCTGGCAAGCACATGTGCCCTATAACAAAAACCTCTCCCCTGCCAAAAAAAAAAAAAAAAAAGAAAGAAAACTCCCAAGTATTTTCCTATTCCAGAGGAGTCAGGAGGGGAGAAAAGTTTGTTTCCATTTAAAGAAACAAAAACAAGAAGAAAAAACATTTAAACAAATTGCTAAACCTATCAACAGCTCTAAAGAAAGTAAAATCCTTAAATTGGGAAAACAAAGCATAGTAAAGAAAAAAACATTAATGTTTTACTCAAAAGTCATAAATTTCTATTTCCCCAGTTCAGTCTTATGTCATTAATCTTTCTTCTGTTGAATCTGCAGTGATACTGTGGTCCAGTCTTTCCTTTTAAATCCTGGAAGTTAAAATCCAATGTTATGGTTGATATTTCTTGTTCCTATGATTAAGTTGGTCATTTTCTTGGTTGCTTTTCATTTCTTAGTTCTGTATGTGTGTCTTTAGTTTTCCTGGTAAAGCACTCCTTTCAGAACTTCTCTGAGAGCTGGTCTGGTGTTGGTAAAGTTTTTCAGGTTTTGTTTATCTGAGAATGTTTTTTATCTTTTCTTCCCATATGAAGGATAATCTTCCTGGGTATAGTATTCTTGGTTGAAACTGTTTTTCACTTAATATTTTGAATATATTTTCCCGTTCTTTCTTTGCTTGCATTGTTTCTGATGAGAGGTCTGATACTAGCCTGATGGGATAACCTTTATAAGTGACCTGATGTTTCTCTCTTGCCAAATTTAGAACCGTGTCTTTGTCTGTGGATTTGGCCAATCTGGCTATGATGTGCCATGGAGAAGATCTTGGGTTTATTCTATGTGGGATCCTTTGTATTTCTTGGATCTGGATATTTAAATGCCTCTCTAGATTTGGAAGGTTTTCTTCCAGGATTTCATGGAATAGATGATCAATGCCCTTATGAGTCTCTTCACTGGGATACCAATGATCTGGATGTTTGGGCTCTTAATGATATCTAGTATTTCTTGTATAGTATCTCATTTTGGGGTTTCTCATTTTGGGGGGTTTTTTTCTCAGGGTTTTTTTTTTTTTTTTTTTTTTTAGGTTGTTTTTTCTAGGTCAGAGGTTTTGCCTTCAGCATCTGAGATTTGATCTTCTGCATGGACTAATCTGCTTCTAATACTTTCAAGGGAGGTTTTGATTTGCTATATTGCAGCCTTCACCTCTAACAGCTCTGTTTGATTCTTTTTTTAATGGTGTTTAGTTCCTCTTTTAGATTGTGCAAGAACTTCTTTACCTCCTGGAACTCGTCTCTCCTGCATCTTCTGGAGTTCATTGTCTCTCAGCTTTTGCATCTCGTTTAGTTTTCTCCCTATAAAAATTCTGAATTCTCTATCAGACATTTCCACAAGTTCTACTGTACTGTCTGTGGATGATGAAGGATTGTTCTTTTCCCTTAGGGGAGAGATATTTTCTTGGTTTCTCATATTTCTTGTGCCTCTGCAGTGGTTTCTGGTAACTCTGTGACAAAATCTCTCTGTTACTTTGTTTTGCAACGTGGTATCCCCAGAAGGAGATTATGAGTTCAGATATATAAAATAAAGTTTCTTCCTTAAAGCAAGAGGTTCAATAAGCATTGAAGATTTCAATGACCCTAAAAATATTCAGGTGCTTGGCTACTGTGCACCCAAGCCTGTCTAGACACTCAATATGTGGAGACTTGTCTGAGTGTTTCAGGGGTCCAGAAGATGAGGTTTAGAGCATAACATTGTTCACCTTGGCCCCTGAACGCACCCAGGACACACCTCAAATTGAAAATGGCTTCCAGGACCAGCAGTTGGCGTAATGGCTATGTCACTGGACTCCCATGTAGTCGACCATGGTTCAAGTCTCGGACCCAGTGACTTAAATTCACACTGGGCGCGTGTGCATGTGTGCCCAAGATCCTGAGAGGAGAATGGAGGCAGGGATTACATTGTGGCCATCTCCTTGGGGAGTGATTTTTTGCCTTCTGTCTCTCTGTCTCTGTCTTTCTGGCGAGTGCATGTACCCTATAGCAAAAACCTCTCCAATAAAAAAAAAAAAAAAAGAATCTTATGGAGACAGCAGTTGGTGTGAAATGGCTTCCTGTCTGAGTGTTTCAGGAGCCTAGAAGATGAGGTTTCCAGGCCACACACTTCTCACCTCTTCTTGATTCACATGATGCAGTTTGTGGTCCATCACCCCACACCATCTACCATTCTCACCCTATACCATATATTTCCATGTCTTTGCTCCTGAAGTTTCTTCTCCTTGAAATACCCTTACCCTTCTTCAACTGCTCAGATATCCTGGTCATTTTTTAGAGCTTGAGGGGTGAGAGGAAGACAGAGAAAGGAAAGAATTTCCTTCCTGAGACTCTCCTGGCTCTCCCAACCTCTAAAATCAGTAATTGGCTTCTCTTGCTCGCAAATCAGATCCCAGGTTTCATCTTCTGCAACACATACCTCATTTCACTTTAAATGTTTTATCTATTGAATTGGAGAACTGGTAAAATAAGTATTTCAAATAGTATATTAATTCTGAGTAAAGGATACATTTTGGTGCCAGTTATTACCCTACCCCACCCCCACCCCCAGTAATCCTTAGTGTCAAAACTACTGGTTGGATGTGTGTCGGCAATAAAGAAAGACTTCTAAGCATATTTTGTGAGTTCAGTAAGTGATAGTTGTTGCTCTCATCCTCATCACTCTCAAGTTCCCAGTCTGAATGTTTGCACATTGATTTCATTTACAGAAGTAGGGACGTTAAGAGAGAAAAATAATGTTTTAAGTTTTAATTAATTTATTTCTTCATGAGTGAGAGAGAAACAGCACAACAGGATCTTGATGCCATATTCCACCCCTGCCTTAGCTAGCCTCAAATCTTGGCATGTGCATGTCCAGTGTGCTCAGGGAGGACGCCAGACTCCAAAACAGAACATTCTCATCTGGGTCAGCCACACAGGATGTTGCATTTTACTTCTGCACCACTGTACACCCACAAGGGGAAAATTGGTGTTTCAGGAGACGTGTGAGCCTTGTCCAGGAGAAGATCTATTTCCTGTACATAGCTGAAAGTATGGAGCTAGCATTTTGGTGAACAGTCAGAACAGTTTTGAGCATCATCTTCGTAGCAACAGTACACGACTTCTCCAAAAGGAGGCTAGGACAATGATTGGTTTTATTTCTCACAGTCATTACGCCATTATAAATTGTTGCTTAATACCGCAAATAAAAAAAATATGAAATTCCTGTTTGTCAGTGAGTTAGAAGAGTGAGAGTTTATTTATATTTTACCAAGCTTTAAAATCGCTATCTTTGAAGTTCTTAATATTTTTCTTGATTTTTCATGATGTAATCATTGAGAAATATTAAATAACATGTGTGCGTGTATGTCTCTGTGTGTGTGTGTGTGTGTGTGTATGTGTGTGGTGAAAGAGAGATTTATGCTTTTTTGTAAAAAAAAAAAAAAAAACAAACCTTATTTGTAGTTCAAATTTGCACATTCTCAAGCTGTTTTTGTTCTAGCCTTGCTGGATCTCATTTTCTTTGTTTAGCTTTTCATTTACAAATCATGTTTCATTTATGTGAACATCATTGAGAATGTGACCTTTCTCAAGACCTTATAAACTAAGATTTTTCTTTGCATTTCCCAATATAAATGTCACTAAAACATACACGTTCTGCTTTTCCCTTAGGTAAAAATCTCTACACCAATGAATATGTAGCAATCAAACTGGTGAGTAGAATCTGTTTATGATCATTATGTTTGGTGCTCTCGCCACTCATATCTTTTTTCAGGAAATAGTTGTAAGCATTTACAAAAATACTAATGCTACTTTTCTCTTGAATATGATCTTACATAGTCATTTTTTTCTTCAGTTACAGTATCACAGCGATTTATCGCTGTATACTATGTAACATTATGTGGATCATGCTAACTAGTGTTAGCAACGACAAAACAAAAATTAGCTGATAATGGATCAATCCTGTAGCATGGCAACTAAGGGAGTCAGATCCTAGATGAATGAGCATAGTTCAAATCCTGACTCCCATGGCTTGAAAAATGTGCTGAGCATGTGTGTCTGCATGCCCAGAATCCCAACAAGATGGAGAAATGGAGCAGAAGGGATGGTGACGTGACCATGCCCCACTGCAAGGTGTTTTCTCCTTCTCTTTTTCTCTTCTGTTGTCTCTCTGTCTGACTCTGGTTATTACACATGCCCTCTGGCAATTAAAAATAATTCTAGAAAAATTAGTTGATTAAAAAATACCTGGAAGGGGAACCAGCAGTTAGCGTAATGGCTATGTCGCTGGACTCCCACGTAGTCGACCGTGGTTCGCATCCCGGACCCGGTGGCTTAAAACTCATGCCGGGTGCGTGTGCGTGCATGCCCAAGATCCCGAGAGGAGAATGGAGAAGAAGGGATTGCGGCGTGACCATCCCCCCTGGGAGGTGATTTCTCGCTTTCTGTCTCTATGTCTCTCTCTGTCTGTCTGGCGAGCGCATGCGCCCTACAGTGAAAATCTCTCAAAAAAAAAAAAAAAAAAACCTGGAAGAACTAGTAATTCTGTGAACTCTACTTTTCCCAGTGCTAAAGATTAAAAATCATTTGGGGCCAGCCAGGTGGCATAGTGGTTGAGGCGGCTGGATCCCACATGGCTGACTGTGCAACTCAAGTCCCAAACCTGGCAGCTTGAAAAACACACCAGACGTGTATGCTCGTGTACCCAAAATCCTGGGAGGAGAATGGAGAAGGGACTGTGGCATGTTCACACCCCCTGTGGGGTGCTTTCTCACTTTCTCTCTCCCCCTGTCTCTCTACCCCACACCCCGCTACCCCATTGGGTTCATATTCCCTAAAGCAAATTTAAAAAATAATCATTTGAAAAAAGTTTTTTCCTTGAATACGACTGATCCATTTTTTAAGTGTAAGGTATTAATATACATAGTAAAAGAAAGCCATATCTGTTTATCTACTCATGGCCTTAAAAAGCCGTCGGGGCCCAGTACAAGTGATGTGCTGCTAAGATGCTATGCTCTGCAGGTGGGTACTGCAGGAGGCTTGGTTTCAGTCTGGGATCTCAAAGGCTGGGTGTAGTGCTATACACCTGTAAACACAGTGACTTGGGGCAGAATCATGAAGACTACATATAAGCTTGAGGCTGATCTGGGCAACATAGCAATACCCTGTCTAAGGAAGATCTGGGCATGTTGGCACATACCTGTAGTTCCAGCTGCCTGTCGTTCCAGCTGGGAGGCTAAGGCAAGAAGATTGTGACGTGGTGAGACCATGTCTTTTTTTTTTTTTTTTTTGTGGGGGTTTT